AATGTTATTCCACTCTGCAGCTCAAATCATGCCAACAACCACAGTCCCAGGTTTGATTGGATTTATTGACTTGCTAAAAAGAAAATCTTATGATATTGTTGAGGGGGCGTTTATTCAAATTGAAAGGGGTGCTTATTCAAACGGGGCGCTTAAGGAAATTTTCACATTAAGAGGGGTGGTTATTCGAGAGAGGCGCTTATTCAAATGGGGCGCTTATTTGCGCCATTACGGTATATACGCGTCATTCAAAGAGAATTGGTAGGTCTATTATTATCAATTGTATTATTATTATTATTATTGTTAGTTCAGCAATAAGTCCAATATGCAAGTGCCTTCTGTATCACGTATCAAAGATCTAATAAAATAAAACTTTATAGAAACGGGCGCCATTCTAACATTGCAAAATCTGATGTTGTGTAGCCCAAGGACATTGAAAATGGAAATTGGCAGCAACAGTTGGTCAGCATATTTTTTCTGTAAGTCCAGGCCCGTAACTTTCAGTGGAAAGTGGACCCTTTGGCTTGTATGATCTCTGATACTCTGGAGAACATTGTATTTACTGAAATTTCTACTACACAGGTTCATCAAATTTAAAATCAATTTCTCCCTTCATCCATCATTTAATACAATCATTGGCCCAGTGTTTCTCATGCCTATCCTGTAGTATTGATTATAGACATTTCCCTCTAAGGTATACATAGTACCATGTACTATATGTTAAATTGTAATGACCTCTGACATTCTACCAAGATTTTGCATATATATTATCATTATATTATATTTATATTGCATATATATTTACTTGGAACACAAATATTTGAAATATTTCAGGTTCTTTGTTTTAACTGAACCAAACTAGCAAATTACCCTGTAAACCGCAACATATAAAAATGTTAGTAGCTATTTCTCCATTTTGGCAAATTAACCCTTTCAAGTTGTAGACACCCAGTATAATTTCAGGTGTAAATTGCCTCTGCATTTTACAACTCTCAACACCAATGTTTGTACCTGAAAGTAATAAGCAGCTTTAGGGGCTATTTCTACTGAAAGCAAAACATGACAAAGTGTTGCAAATTTACTTTTTTTTTCAAATTTGGGATGATAGAAGTTTTTGTAAAATGCCTACAGCCCAGGCAGTATAAGGACATCACTAATTTCAATTCTGTTTTTCATTTATTTGTTTGCTTATCCCTACTATTTATCTTTATTCCTGCCTCTGTCCCTCCCTACTTTCCCTGGGTGCTCTTTCTATGACCATCATTCTATATTTTATGTCTGCTACACCAAGTTTCTAAACCTTCTGACTAACTTATAATCCAGGCAGGAGACAGCATGGATAAAGCCTAACTTTGGACTTGACCTTTCGATCTTCTATTTAGAAGCTCAAAGCCATACCAATGTGCCACTGTTTTTATAATCTTTCCTATGCTCTTAGAGTTAAATCAACATCAAAAACACATATGACATCACATGGCAACCTTCAACAACACATGCCAGCTAGCAATAAAGATACATAGAAATTGAGTTTCTATTAGTTGCTCTTCGTAATGATGTTTCACACGTGAATGAGAATGCTTATGGAGTCAACTGGACGGAATTGCTAAATCCAGGGTCCATTCCTCGAAGCCAAGACAAATTGATTTATGCAATAGGTGGCAAAATCCAAATTAGCTATTATGGATGTGGTAGATCACTGCGTCAAGTTATTTCACCTCATGTACCAATGTAATTATACATGAAATGTAAGTAGACTAAAGTGTTTGAAATAAAAATTACCTGAGATGGCAAAAATATTTATGCTATAAACAGCATTTAAAACCAATTTATGAACTAATAAGTCTTAAGATACAGTGCATCAGAAATAATAACACATTTTCGTTTGATAATGTATTAATAGTTCGGAGCTTTTTCATTTATCTTATTATTCATCTCTTTATTTAATTACCAGTTTAAATACAATATAGTATAATATTTTCCCCTTTCTTTGCATGAAATTCAATCTTGATTAGTATATGGAAAATTTAAAAATGATTGTTGATGTTAACCTTTTAAACATAGAAGGTGGTAAAGAAGGAAAAAGGAATAAATTATAAGAATGGTGATGCAGAAATAGACCATTTAAGGGTATAAACAATGTTAGATTTATTCGGTGTAAACCCCAAGGACAGCCCACGAAAGTCAAGTAGAAGACTTATTTCCAGTGGTGTCCTTGTGGTGATTGGGCAGTACACCGGGAGACAATCCCCTACTCTTTTCTGAAGAGTGTGCTGCGTTATTTAATGTGCACATGGGCCATAAATGCTCACAGGACCAGTGGCTTAAACGTCTCATCCGAAAGACTATGCGCTATAGTAACTTGTATTTCAGCCCTCCAGCTGAAACACAAGGAGAGGCAGCGATGGGAATTGAACCGGGAACCTAGATATATCCACAGCTCAGCTCAGCTCTCTACAATCATTTCTATAGATATGAAGTATATGGTTTGTTTTACAGATGAGAAATTTTGGAGATATTCAAAAGAACTCAAATTACCAAATTATATGGGAATATGCACTAACATATCAACATGATAGTACATTCCCAATTTTAAATTCACTTAAATAAAAATAAAAAGTGCAGGAAAATGAAGTACTGTAAGTAAAAGATGGGAAAATGTACCAGAGCATCATTTTGAGTAGGAAGTGTTTTGAATGAAAAGAAATGAATACGAAATCTTCTAAAAATTGTATATGATAGGATATTCAAATGATTTCAACTTGATAATTAACCATTACCATTATTATTAGACAGAATGTACTTGTAATAATGGACTACAATGAATATGCTATCTACATTAAAAGCTTTATCCTGTATTTGCATAGCTAATCTGAGAGTCGTTTTTACAATAGGCCTGTAATTATAACTGCACGATCATCATAATATGCTCCAGCTACAACCAACTGTCTCTACCTTATACTGTATGTATAAGCAGGCAGTGTGTACACAGTAGCAACCACTGGGTAAGTGGTATGTATCTTATATATATCATTATGTTCTATTTGATTAAATAACCATTTTGTTATTTTGCACAAAGAATTCATGACGTTGATAATGATAATATGGACGATGTTGTTTACAAAGTATGATGAGGATATATGAAACTGAAGATGGTGATCAGGATGAGAATGGTGATGCTAATACAACCGATTATGATGGTCATAATGAACATAGTACATGATGATAATGGTACAAAAATAAAGATAGTAAAAGAATACAGTGATGCCAATGATGAAGAGAATTATGTTTGTTTACTTTTTTTCACCATGATGATGAAAGTAATTAGGAAGATAATGATGCAGAGATCCCAAGTCTCCCGAAAATCGCAGGTTTCTCCCGATTTTTGAGGCCGTCTCCTGTCCTCCCGATTTTTATTAATATCTCCCGATTTTTAAAAATATCCCAAAAATTTCATGAAAAATGTGATTTCCACAATGTCATAGAGCAATGAAACAAAAATTCTTATCTTAAGCCAATATACTATGGCGCTCGCTCAGCCATAAAATGTCATAAACAAGGCCAGGGAGTTGTTATTTAAGTTGTTTATCAAAATAACAACTCCAGGGCAAGGCAGGCGTGGTAGAACCGCCTTGTTTATCCTCCATGTTACGATTTTGCATCCAGCGCCGACCTCATTCAATGAGATGGCTGTCAGTTGAGTAAATAAATTTCAAAAAAATAAACGAAATCAGAAATCACATGGGAATGGATGGGGCCCCAAGTTTTCGCCGCGAAGTTTGGAACAGAATTGGTGCATAAAAAATACTTTTTCTTTCAAGTAAGCTTCAGTTCTTGAAGCCAAAGCCTTGTTGACTGCTGCCAAGAACGCTTTACTAGCAAAATGCTAAATAAATAATAATATTTATAAATTTATATTTTAGGACAACTGCAATGTGTAAACAAATGTAAAATTGTTAAATAAAAGTAAACAAATTGATGAAAATTGTTTGCTTTCTTCATTTCGTGTAATATTTTCACGTTGCACAGTGCATGGTAAGGCGTCACAGTGCGTCGCTACAGGAGGCGATCGCTTCATGAAAAAATCTCCCTATTTTTTGGTTTTCAAACTTGGGATCTCTGATGATGGATTAAATGAAATTTTTAACACAGTTGCAAACACTACTAGTTATTATTCTTTTACATAATGTCTGCATTGGTATGGCTGCCACTTTGATCATTTAAACAGGCACAAAAAAAAAATCAAAAATGTTGTCATCTTAAATACCACAATTAAATTAGTATGGCACTAATTCCTCTATACTAATTACACATGATTGAATGTTTTCCATTCTAAAACTGCAAAACATGTGCCTGTTGCACTCATTTACCCGGCCCTGTTTCACCACACAAGGTTTCTTCATTCTCTTTTATCAACGTGACACCGAGCTGTAAACTCGTTTATGGTATTCGTTATCTGTTACAATATATATCTTGATTTATACAAAGGATTAAATCTGACAGTGAATCATCTGATCCTTCTTTGGTAGTGTATTTCACTCAGATATTGTGCACTACATTTTCTCTGGCAATGTATTTCAATCAGATGTTGGCAGGAAGTGCACTACATTTCTGGTTAATTTCTTCCTTTAAATATATATTTTTACCAACAGATTTTCTGCCAATTTCACTTGTTGTTTTGATTGAACTAGTTTTCATTCAATGTAATAATGGTTTTCACTCAGCTCTGATAGCCACCACAATGTGTCTAAGTATGTTTTCATATTTTATTAATTCATTTTTATATGTTTACTTTAATGCATTCTAACAGACATTTTACACCCGTATCTTCAAGTTGACGACATAGGGGTGTGAATAAACACAGACTAAGAAACCAGTACAGACAAAAGAAAGGAGTAAGAGTGCAAAAAAGTAAAAATTATTTTATTGTAGAATAGTCCTGATTGATGCACTTGCTTTTATGCGCTCTGTAAAATAAAGAAATATAGAAAGGATATGTTACTTACCAATTGCTGTGCTTGAATGTTAGACTGTTCAAAATCGTTAAGTTCTTTGCGTAATGCCTTGTTTGTCTCTTCTAGCGCCTGATAACCAATGGTATTACCAGAGGGATCATGCTTTAAGACAAAAAAAATGACGGCATAAGAACAATGTGTACAGAATTCTGGTAATAACATATCATGCACAAGTTTTATCTTCAGCAAACTTTTACCAAACACTGCCCTCACATGGCATCAACTAGAAAGCACCCTATGCTGAAACCTACACTGCAATTAAAATGAAAGACCTGTGACTAAAACACAATCTATCTTTTGCATATAGTTTTTTAGGCTCGGTAGAAAAATGACATGATTACAACAGTATCATATGACGTCTAAAAATAACGGCCATACAACCTGCAGACATAATTGTAATTACGGAGTAATAAACACACATACATCGAGATATCACTCTAAAAGCTCATCAAAATGAGAACAATAATATAGAGGTGACGTCCACAGCCAATATTGAGTGGCATCACAAATTACAATATGAAAACAAAACTATTGTGTGCTTTTGTGCTCTACATTATTCATGATATTAATAAGGATTGGCAATTAAAGTTTTTCACAACTATCGTATTCTTCTGCTGAATCTATCCCACAGCAATTTCCTGGAGCTCAGTTCAACCACAATTTCTTAGGTAGATCCACTCCACCAGGGGAAACAGAGTGGAACAATAATTGAACCAATGATTTTGGATTTAAGAATATGACTTCCTTACCACACTGAACTGTTGATAATTATCATTTAAATAATAACGATAATCTACCTATAGACTATAAAGCACATTTTGCTAAAGGATACAAGACATTCGGAAACAATTTATAAAAGAAAAGAAAAATTATTTTAAACTTTTTCTACCATCTAATGACAATTTCTAATAACTAAATTTGAGAATGTTGCCAATTTAAACTGAACTGTTTATGGTATTATAACTATTGAACAGATCATAGACAGATCTACGGTATATTTAAAAAAAAACCCATAATAACTTGGTTTATTAATTTTTTTAATTTCAGCGATCAGACCACAGATAATATACTAATATACACCAAATATATACATATATCTATTTTTTTTAAATAAATAAAAAACCTATAAAGAAAAACATATGAAAATGGCACTTTCATCATTAACAGATTTATTTGAAAAAACTAGCTTTTGCCTGGACCAACAAGCAGTGTGCCAAACATTTTCAGGTGTGGAGGCTACTGATTAAACAATTGTAGGTGGCGCTATTGATGTTATTAGGCTTACTGGTGGCAGTAGAAGATGCAAAAGAAACATGATAGTTAACAATAGCATTACATCAGCAAATGATTGATGTTCATCAACACATGGTCTGCATTTAGATTTCATGAATGGGGCTACCGCGGATGCCGACGCACAAAGCTTATAACATTCGCAAAACACCTGTTAAACTGCCCTGTACTTTTAATCAGAGCTCTGCAAACAATGGTATGCCGACCAATCAATAACAGGCTTAGAAGTTAATTAAAGATTGTCGATTTGAAATTGGAAAAAACTTGTGAGCGTGACAAGCAGTCGGTAAACGAAGATGAACGCAATTACAAATATTGGTGTGAAAGATAATTGTAGCGGAAGTCATTAAAGATAAGAACCTGTGGGTAGCTAAAAAAACAAAAACAAAAATTATATAGAAAAAGGTTAATATTTCATTCTGGGTAATTTTTATCATCATCCTAATATGTTATCAATGAAATTTAGCACCTGAACTAGACTAGTCCCATTCCTTAAGAATTTGATAAAATATCAAAAATTTAACAAACAGTACAACTACTACTGCTATACAATTCCTTATGGTTTTGAATAATGTAATAACACAAACACAATTATGTCTATCAACATTCTTTACCTCTAGAATTAACATCCAATTTAATATTTTTTTTCGCAATTATCACCTTTATAAACTTTATATTATGATAATCATTTATGAGTAGTAACAAGCCACTCATGAGTATCTACTGTACCAATGTAAATTCAGGCTCATATTACCATGTGACTAAAATTAAACAACAGAAAGGCTGATTCATACATAATAAAAGAAATTGCACCTGTCAGAAAGAAATAACACCAAAAATCATTATGTCAACATAACATCAGCTGCAGAACAGTTTTTAACAACATGTACAGGAAAAACTATATGAAGACTATTATTATACTTATTATTATTATTATTATTTATTAGGTATAGATTATACCATTTTTAATAATAAAGTACATATTGACAGATAGGTTGCTACCAACTTGATATTTATAATAAATAATATTTAGCTTATTGCGAACAATACATCCATTCCAACCATTCATTTATTGTACAATAGTGTGAAGTGTGGCTCACAAGCACAGACTTCATAAATAATTCCAGACAAACCGACTTGATTTGTCACCCTGAAACCAGTTGCGGCACCAAGAGGGGAGAAGAAGGGGTAGTAGGCGAGGAGAAGGCAGGTGGACCAAAACAAGAATTTCATTTTCATTTTGAAATTCTTAGACCCCACCTCCCCTGGACTCCACCAGGATTTAATTCTGGACCCAGCCTGAAATTGTCAGACTGCTGTGGAACCACTAAGCTCCTTGTTTGGCAAATCCTGGCAGTGCCACTGCATTCTCACAAATAAATTCATAAAATGTGTTGCATACACACTACTGAAATTCAGCAGGCAATTATAGTTTCACAGGTAATCACTGTTCAAATATAAAAGGAACATCCAATAAGAATGAATTAATCAATAAACACAAAATTAACTCTCAGAACAAAGTAAATTGATAATCCATACTGAAATCGGTTTGCAACGAACAATAACAAAAATACAGAGAGAACTGTTTGAAGTGGAAGTATTAATTTCCCGTACAAACACGTTCAGGAAGTTGACAATGATCTTCAAAGCGTGATCGCAAAACTCCGTAGGCAAACTCAGCACCGGCGTCTATCAAGTCCTACTAATTAATGTTCCTGTTGACTTTATCAGTATAAGCAGACCGTCCGCTCACCGTAAACAATCAGGTTTTTGTGAGCGATCAAGATGAGATTTGTGAATACGTATTACATAATGGTGAGTTGTATTAGGGAACTGCATTAATCATGAAAATTACCCATGTCTTTAGATCACTGTATTCGTAATCACATGAACTATGACCTCACATGTTTGGTACACATTTCTAATTGCATATCGGCATCGGTGGTTTCCTTACATGGGTTTTACGACAACTTGTCATCACATCTTGAATCAACATCACACTAATTTATTTTTTTTTTTTACATTACTTGGATCTTCACATTTACAATAATTTTAATTATTATTTTAAGTTCAATTTAATTACATATTGTTTTATATATATTTTTCTTATATTAAGTTATTATTTTCAATAATAATTGCTTTAAAAATCATAAATATATATAATATGTTTGTTTTTTTTTTCTAACCATATGCAGCCATATGCTGACAACTTCTATAAATACCTACAAACATTTATATAATGAGGAAATTTATAGCAACAATTAAAATACGATGCCATTTAAATGTATTATTTGTTACTTGTATGAAAACATTGTTGATCAAACAAACAAAATTTACAGAGCATGAAGTAAGCCTTTATTACTTAACACTTTATATACGATCAACCACAGGAGATAAGGGGATTGAGGAGGCCATCTCCAGGTAATCTAGGTATATATTTATCACATGAAGTTGAATGCACAACACTCAACTTGATTAATCTACTTGAATGAAGCTAGTAATTACATTTGTGATGTTGTTGTGGTAGCGACCCCAACCTTCTAGGATAGCCACTCAAGGATACGAATAAGGGTTTGAAAACCCTGGATCTGGTCTGTGCCTTGGCCAATCAGAAATGTTGATCAATGTCAACAGATCTCTATCAGTTTTATAGATTTTATTATTCATCAGCCTGCTCCTGAATTTAGAGTCCTAGTATCAGGATCGGGAGCTAACCGTTAGCACCCATGTGAGAGCGCCTGATCGGTTAGCGCTATTCAATTAACAGGATCTGGATATGTTGACGGTTACCAAGTGGTATCAGTTTAGCAAGTTGAGCGTGTCTCTATCATTAACCAATCACATGTACGCACTTTCCAGTTTCCTATTGGCCAGTGATCCCACCGTCATCTTGATATATGGATCGGGGATTTTCTTGTATGAACACAAGGGGGAGCGTGTATGTTATATTACATCTGGATCCTGCTAACTGGTGTGTGTGAATATAGCCTTAGTATAATTCTTCAGAGGTCCCGAGTTTCCCGCAAGTCACAAGACTCCTGGAAATCGAGACGGCCTTCTAAACTCCCGCAAGAAAGGAAAATATCCCACAAAATAACCCATCTCTGCAAATTCATATTTGTATGATTTTGCTACTTTATTATCAATTGTCTTACGGAAGTCAGTGCCGATCGTTATACCCATACACAGTAAAAAACGAAAATTAGATGTGTGATTTAACCAGATCTTCAGGAAGAAACTGCTTCCAACTTAGGATTCCTGGATTCTTAAGAGGGTCCCTATATACTGTATCTAGGATACCATGTGTTAGAGATAGGAAGTTTATCTTGTTTTGCATTTCAAATATTATAGGTTGCTGGTAATTTATCAAAATCGTAACTCTTATTATCAGCGTTACCCATCCTCAACAAACTAATAATACAAACATTATATGTATGGCAGGTTTTTAAAATAATTACTATATAAGGTGAGCTAAATGGCTGAGCAGTTATTAGGCTGGGGCACCGCAACCCACAGAAATAATATCGGAGCTGGTTTGAACAAGTTGCTCAGGCACAAAGAGACCCTTAGGGAAGAAGAAAGTTACACAAGCTTGTCCAAGCTTCAAGCGCTTTGAGAATCTGGTGTAAAGCGCTATATAAATGGCTTATTAAGTCTTGTTTCGGTTAACTAACTTCAAACAAACATTTAATAAATAATAAGAACAATAACATTATTCTTGCTAAAAAAAACAACAATAACAGTAATATTATTAAAACCATAAAAACAATAACATAGATCAAATAAATATTCAATGTTACCTTTTTATGATT